TACACCGCACTCGCTGCCGCTCTGTCTTGCTTGCCATGCTTTTTCATAATGCGCTGAGTGCATCTCTCATTGCTACCTTTATTTTAAGTGAATTCTTTTTTATTGAATTCCAATTTTTTTTTCTTTCAATATTTGCGAATTTTGCCTTGTCATCGTTGCGGCGTTTCTTTTACATCGGCCAGCAACATTTACAATACATTTACTGTTGTTATTGATTTGTATTAAATGCTATTTTCTATGGTTTGATCTTTATCTAAGGAAGCCGCACTTTGCTTTCTGAATTCGGTGAGTGAGTTATGGGCGTTGATTTTTGAGTGATATGCAGGTTTTTTTCTGTCGATGTAGCGCCAAGCATTTGTTTCGTTGGCTTCCAGGCTTGTTCGTCTAATATCAGATCATTAAGGGCGAGAAAAACTGATCGCATTTGGTGTTGTAATTGTTTTTCGTAAATCTAAGGTTTCATTTTTAATATAGGGTATTTTCATATAATATACAAGTATATCACTTTTGGAAAGCTAGCTTGTAATATCGGCTTAAAGATTGCACTTAACTGTAGATTATTAATATCATAAATCCCAAGAGTGTTTTTAAGACATGTTAATCGTATTGCGGCAAAGTAAAAGGATTCAAAGTAAAAATACATAGATAAACACCCCTAACATTGGAATACCACAGGTTAGGTTTTTAGCCACTATTCTATGAAGCTTAATGCTATCTTAATTAAAGGGTTAGAGCCTTAAAAGGGTCTAACGTTGATAATTTATTCTAGAAGTAAAAGGAATGGAATTGAACTTTTTTTCTGGCTTTATTAAATATGTTTTTAATTATGTGAAAAAATTTGCATACTTCATACCCAAAACAAATGGCGGCTATTGAGCCAATCTTCATAATTTAATTTAGGTTTTCAAGAGCAGCTTTTACGGATTAAAAAAACGGCATCTTAATCTATGATACATAAGACTTGCTAATAAAGTAGTGAGGTTTATAGTCTTAGAACAATTTTTCGTAAGATAGAGAATATATGCGTTAGTTTCCGAGTGGCATCGTCAACCGATTTGAAAAATTCTGTTTCGAGGAAAACTCAAACGCTTAACCCTCCTAGGCAATTGATTTAGGAACTGTTTATTTTATTGAAGGTGAATAAAATTTCTTTTAAATAGAGAGATAAATGTTGAGCTGAGTCCACACTTTCTGGATATAAGATTCTAGTTATCGGCTTATTTGTGTGATAGTTTGGTTTAAGAACTTTTCGTTTTATTTTGCTCTGAGCATTTTATTATTCATTTGCATGACATATATACATAACATTTGATTAAATTTGACCCAGTCTGACAAAAAAAAACTGTATTTTCAAATATTTTTTAATAGAAAACTTTATTATTACTTCCAACGCTTAATCTGATTTTCCATACACTTGTTATAAATCTTGGCTGGAATGACACTTAGTGCCTTCAGCGAATTTAGTTTTTTGTTTTTTTCGGCTGATTTTCGGAGCGCTATTCGCTAGGTTGTTGGAAAGTTTCGACGTCATTTTCATAAACCTACGTTTCGTCACCAGTAATAATGCGGTTGAAGAGTGTAGGGTTCTCAGCTATGTTCTCAAGCAGCTCTTTTTCAACAGTCACGCCGTTTTTGCAAAAGATTTAGGTTTTTTGGTACGAGTCTAGCATTGACACGCCATACCCAAAACATCAACCAAAACTTTTTTAGTCGGTCCATAAGCGGTTTTGAGATCCTCTGCTATTTCTCCGATGCCTACACGACGATTTTCAAGCACTGTTTCTTTAACTTTTTCGATGTCATTAATAGAGATAGATAGACCATTCGCATTTAAAAAGTTTTCGATGACTTCACGATCTTCACCGAATGCTTTGTGCCACTCAAATACTTGTGTTCATGATAAAGTAGACTTCCTAAAACACTGCGCTAACAATTTCAAAGATTCCGTAGCTGTGATTCCAATGAACAAATTTTCAAGCAAACTCGTTGTGCAATTTTTTTTTTTTGGTAAAAAACGCCAGTGAAACTTTTCACGTCGTAAACAAACAGCTGTCAAACCTATACTTATAGAAATATCAAATGTATTTTTAATAGACATATCATATATCATATGCAGCGCAAGCTTCCCACAAATATAAAAAAGGGTTGTACCAATCACTTGGCTTAACTCTGAAAAACTTTTGAGCTCTCAAATAGTTTTTCTGCGCAATTTCGATTATATATTTTTGTGATAAACATAAAAAAAAAGTTCGAACTGGGTTTTTTTTTTTTAAAGAATGAGCAAGATTTGAAACTTCACTTTTAAAAAAAATTTCAAAATATCTGGTAAGAGTTGAAGGAAGTTTTGAAATTCAAGTTATTTCTTATTACTGCCTCTTGGTAACACTAGTACAGTAGTCTTGGCTTAACACTTGAAAAAAATGATCTAAAACCTTCCATTTTTTTTTTTGATTAGAAATGAGTTGCCTAAAAGGAGATACCAAAAATTATACCATTAAAAATATACATATATTTGAATGTAAAGTAATTTCAATGTAATATATCTATACTTCAAGTAAATATATAATTATTATATCCTCCATGCAATAAAAAACAATTTATTTTTATTATTTTTCTATTACCAGCATTCCTCTTACAATGTATAATACAATATTATTTCAGTATTTTCACTTCACAATGTATGCAATGTAAGCGACTTTGTAAATTACAAAAATCAAATTATTCTCAAATCACAATTTCCAAAAGTGCAATTTGCATTTATGACACTGTTATAGTGACACTATCGTTTATCGAATGGCCGTACAGCTGTTGCATTATAACTGTTCAATTATTGTAGTTCAATTTTTTCAGTAATTAAGTAAATATTAGTTGAATAATTTTTTTGACTTAAATCGTTAATGCCCACACACTTCTGTGGACATAAATGCTGTTGAAACCATACACATATGTTTACATACATACATAGATATACATAGATATGTATGTACAAGTATGTGTGTAAGCATGTTAATATGAGTTAATTATTTATTTACATGTAAACACACAGGTGTGAGATAAAAAAATAAATAAATGGCAGCCATTGAAGTATTTACATGACATATTCGTAACTACTTGCATGTGCATTACAAATGCAATACGAGTGCACGTGTTTTACACTCTGTCAAATAAATTCCCGAACATGTATAGTTAACTATAGAGATTTTTAATTGCTTATTACACTTTAGGGATTTTTAAAATATATATTAATATGTGTCGATATGTAAAGAGAGATAGTACGTATATATAAATAAAAATTTAAAAAAAAATTAAAAATTTATTTTTAATAAAAATTTTGAATTTCCTACCTGTGAAAACGTCTCTAACTAATTTAATATTTATTAAAATTTTTTGTTTCAATATTCTGCGAACTTTTATAACAGAATATAATATGCCGTGTGTACATACACGAACGCGCCTTTCCATCTGTGTTAACGTTGTGATTACAAAATGTGACAATTTAACAAAATTACTTGTAATACTAATACAAATTTTTATTCCCCCGGCGACAGAGGACAAACGCTAAAGCTGGCAAATAATTGCATATACATGAATAAAAATTGGTGTACAAAGACATATACAAAATTACACATTTACAGCCATTCGAGCGAGTGAACAAGCAAAGCAGCCGAACGCTTAGTCCGCCTGTCCGACATTCGACCTAACAATTTGGTCAATATATTTACCTCAACTTGCCGGCCAACGTTTAGTCGGCATAGAAATTAATAAATATATAACAACACACATAAATACTTACGTGTGTATGTTCATGTAGATATGTATATGTTGATATTATATATGTCTCGTTGGCCAGACAGTGTTATTTGCGTATATTCAGGTGAACCTTTATTATCAATGGCGCGCAGACTAAAGAAAATACCAACTAATAATATAGATACATATGTTTATGTATAGGTATATAAAAATATATATTTGCATATCAACACACGCCCTTCATGTGTTTGCTTTTTTGCTTTTGTATTAGTGAAATTTTAATTCTTTAATAGAGTTTCAATGATTGTCCGTCCGCCTATTTGTCTCACGCAATTGAGGGCTGTCTGCTGTTCGGTTATATATAATATTATGCCTATTTACATACTTATATACATACATATAACCCTACATTAGACCAGAAAACAGTATTGTAATGGTTTGAAAGCATTTGCTTATATACAAACGTTTACATAAGCAAATATGTATGTCAGAACATATGCCAATAATAACATGTCTTTATACGCAAATATATATCTACATATATATCTATATATATATATATTTATCATCATCAAAAGTGCTTATATATATCAGATATGCAGATATGTATGTATGTATGTATGCTAATGGCGCGAACATTATGGCCAGCACGCCGGTTGTCTGTTATTATTTCGCTACCATTGGGAATAAATTAAGCAACAATTTTTGACAGAGTTGCCAACGGGTTTGGTGTTTGATCTAATTGCAACTTGCATTGATTTCTAACTAGCTGCTGTTATTCGATAAATTAAGAGTGGTAAGGGTATGGGTACCGAATTACTGCTGAATTTTCGGGCCTTTTTATTGTTTTGTTTTTATGAGTGTTTGAAATCGACTCTCACGAGACAAGTACCGGCAGAAAAATATTTTACTTTTTAACTCTTTATACATCTTTCTCATTGAAAAACTATGAGATGACTGCTTCAATATATTTTGAAGCAATAGGTTAGGTTAGCTTTGATGGCTGATTCAGAGATCGCACCTGGACTACTATATGTAGTCCTTTGTGAAGCCATAAAAACAGAAATCCTGTATTCGATCTTATAAGTCAGCAAAACACCATGTGGCCAATACAAATTTGCTAATTTAATCATTAATTTTTTTTTTTTTTCAGTAATAGAATATTATATTTAATAAAATAATGCTATTTAATTACATTAAATAATACAAATACCAACTTTAATGTGCAGTCAATAATTTTTTTCTTGCAGATTTAAATCGCTTGGAAAAATCACCACTACTCGCCAATGGCTATAATCCCCCGCCCATCAATCATATGGCTTTCATGCAAATGAATCACCATCCCGGTACGGCATTAATGTCACCCGGCATGCCGCCACATGGCTTACACGCTCGTCCCGACAGTCAAATGCTGAAAGCCGCCGCTCAAGGCGGTATGTCCGCGGCGAATATGGACGCGTTGGCGCGTTCCGGCATTTGGGAGAATTGTCGAGCAGCTTATGAGGATATTGTTAAACATTTGGAACGGTAAGCATATTTACTATTTGTTTTTCAGCGGTTCAATTTTAATGTCTTCCTAATTAGATTGGAAGATATGTTATCTAAGTATTTGAGTTCTACTAAATTATGCAAGTTTGTCACAACAATAATTTTCGTTTTAATTACAAAGCAAAATTTGCTGTTAAAAATTTAATTTTAAAAGAAATATACCGTGAGCCTCTAAACTTGAAAGCAATGCAGGGTTAGCAAACAATTTTGTCCCCGATGGCTTCATGCTACGAAGTTAAACTAGTGTTGATCATCTTTAAGAGATAAAATTTAAACTGTAGTTAAGATGCCGACGGTATTTTATTCAGAGAATTTTGCAAAATTGAGCTGAGTAGAAATATGTTCAGACGAGAACTTTATGGACGGTGAGGGGACGATGAGGAAAGATGAAGGTACCGTGCAGTTCGTACGCGGATGACACGCTTTGTGTTCTTGCTCGTTCGCTGCTATGCAATTCGGTATTCCTTTCAATACTTTGTAGTAAAGTATTCGACTCAAGTTGTCGCACATAAGTTGCTCGTGTGAACGCAATGAGCGACACAAAAAGAGAATTTTCCGATAATTAGCGGCAAAAAGAGTCCTCGTCTGAACGTGGTCTAGGTATGTAATAATCAAAGATTTCTCTGTACTAGTAAAATATTTCTTCAAATGAGTTTCTTGAAATGAGTTAGTTACGGAGCTTGATATTAGGACTTCCACCATTTCTTAAAATGTGAATCGTCAGAACTTAAAAAAATTGAGTTCACATATCATTAAGATGTAGTGAGATCTCTAATAAAATCTTTAAGGAAAAAATATGACTTTTATTGGAAGATATTACATAGAGTATTTGATTATCATCCAAACCCTTCTTAGATTTAGTTCTCTGTTCCAATTGGAATTTCGCAGACTGAGAAGGCCATTTTTCATATCGGTGATCTTAAATGAGATATTCAGGGTAGTTTGTGGAATAATAACCAATAGAGCAGAATAAATTAGAATGAACGTAAGATTGACTTATACGATATATATCCCTTTCGCTTACATTTCTTTTCCAGCTTACGCGAAGAGCGCACTGATGAACGCCAGCAAATGAATAGCGGCGGCGGCGTTGGCAATGAGCCGAAGATACGCGATTTAAGCTCACGAAATTGTAAGTTCTTTTGCCTATATACCGACATATAAAATTTTCAACGCGAAGACGTCACCAAATACATAAAATATATACAATGCCTTTATCTTTCTCTCATTTCAACCCTTCAGCTGGTTCGCCGAATCGTCAAAGTCCCGTACTGAATCTATCCAAATCCGGCGGCAATACCGATCAAGGCAGCAATTGTGATGACCGCAGTGAACGCAGCGAAATGCATTCGCCAGTACATTCGGTGCGCGATGGCAGCGTCGGTGGCGGCAGTCAGGGTGTGATTGGCGTGGAGGACGACGATGACGAGAATCTGAGTGATGATAATGCGTCAGAAGTCGATGAACGCTGCGCCAAAGATGAGGAAGGTGAGTGCACTTTGTTTTTGATCAATAAAGACACTGATGACAAGGGAGATTGAAAGAAAAAGGGGGCGTGGATATATATATATATATATATACATATATAAGCATATATAGTGTCATAAATACTAAAAGACAACACAAAGCATACAAAAGCTGACTGCAACACTGACTAATGTTTCTTTAACGCATTCCTTTTGTTTCTTCTTCTTATTTATGCCGGGCCTTCTTTTGTTTGCACAGACTTAAGTGATACCGAACGTGATAATATAACGTCGTCGGCGGCGTCACAACGTCATCATCCACTGCATCATCACCACCATCAGCTGCATCATGGCGCCAACAGCAATGCCATGGGCGTGGGCGAACGTGGCAGTGTAGCGGGCGGACCAGGCGCCGGTGTTGGTGTAGGTGTCGGTGTTGGCGGCCTTGGTGTTGCCGCTGCCGCCACTGTCGCTGGTCTCAATGAACGCGACGTACTTAGCACGCATGCGGCGCTACAACAATCACCCGTCTCGACACACAATGCTGCTGCCGTCGCAGCGTTGCAACAACATCATCAGCGTGCGCTCAACTATTCACATTTAGCGGCGGCAGCTGCCGTTGCTGGCGGTGCAGCTGGTGGGCCCGGTGCGAATGCTGCCCTCACCAATGGACCCGGCTCGGGTGGTGCGCTTGCCGGCACAGAAGCTCTATTGGCAGCCAATGATGCCACGGCCGCGGCCGCTTTGGCCGGTGGGCTAGCGCTCGGTCCACTCGCTATGGATCCGCATGGTGTGCCATCGTCAACGGAGACGTTGCTGCGGAATATACAGAGTTTATTGAAAGTGGCTGCGGACAATGCACGACAGCAGGAGCGACAAATCAGCTATGAAAAAGGTGAGACTCATTTGTATAGTTGTCAGTTGGTAGAAAAAGCTACAACAAAGTGAAAATACTGTAAAGTGTTAGTTGTCGGGTGACAGCCGACAGACAGCGCTGTTAGTTGAGTAGTAAACTTTATGAGCTTTTCACCCTTTTTTTTACTCTTATTGGCGGCTCCATTGTGAATTTTACCTTACCGCTTTGATCTTTGCGCTTTGTCAATAAATATCTAATCGACTTTCTCTATTTCTTTTCTTTTCGTTTCGGTTTTTCTTGCTTTTCCTTGCAGCGGAGCTCAAAATGGATGTTTTGCGCGAACGCGAAGTCAAAGATTCATTAGATCGGCAATTAGCTGATGAAAGGAAACTTAGAGGTGAGTTGCAAGAAATAAACTCCTCTTTCTCTACATATAAAGTTATATATGCATGTAGTTTTTTGTTTTTACTTGTTGCAATTGAATTGCAACTGCAGTCGCATGTTGCCTCGGTAATGTAGTTGTTGGTGCTTGCCAAATCGGCTTTACTGCCAACAGTGTCATGGCAGCTAATTAACATTTTATGCTAATTTGAGGTTAAATGAAGTCGTTGTAAGACTGTGGGTTGTATCAGACGGAGTTAAAATGGAAGTAATTGTGGTGACTTTTAATATTATATAAAAGAACACGTAAAAAAAAACACAAAACATAAGATCGTATAGTTGTAGAGCACTGAAAGAGTATGCATCGCAAATTACTTGTAACATTTAAGGTTCCTAAAAGAAATTCATCCTCCTGTTGAAGATAATTTAAAATTTTAGGCAAGGCAATTTTTATATGCTTACTGTAAATATTCGAACATCACTTCTCATATATACAAAATTTAGTCACATAGTAAGTAATCCATATAATAACTACCTCCCATTAACTATACTCAGAAATTACATGTACGTTACAGCGAATATTTCTATTGGCGTCATAGAATTATAGCCCGTCACACATAGTAAAGACGTTTAGTGATCAAAATTCATTTCCAACTTAAACAGTATTAACCTATAGTTTTTACCTATGAGTTACTTATAACGGAAAGCTTCAAAAGTTGTACCAAATCGTTTGAAATCGTTAAGGAAAAACCACCACGGCGACACTGAGTAGCTATTAAGCCAGCTATTAAGGAGTTAGGTCAGTTTAGTTCTTTAAAATATTAGCTTATTTTTACAATTTATGGTGGTAGAAAGGACCAAGGTATTGTATTTCACTCTCTATCGAACTTCATTTAACATATGTATATTTGAGTGTATAAAGAAATTTTTACATTGACATTCCTATACAAAATGATGGCTTCTCGTCTAAATATCAGAATCACCTTTTTCAAGAGTACTTTGACGAGCGACGGTGATTCCTAGAAATCGGTCTCTCTGAAACATACAATAAATAAAACAGCAACTTACGGCATCAGTCTTAACAGCTACGTGAACAGCCAAGCAGCAATCATAGCTCTAACCTCATTTCGCATATTGGACAGAAGTGACTTAGAAAGCAGGGCTCACTTCACTTCTACTGTGTGCCGTATCACAAAGGCATCGAAGGTATTACATAGTTGACGAGATTGCTAAGAGTGGTATATGGCTGTCAGCCGAAAATATGATCAACATTAGTTAACCGATGCATGGGCTATACGATGATCTTAACAGTAGCCTGTCATGAAAGATCAAAATGTGGCATAAAAGAATAGATCGAAAATATACAAAGTTCCTACCGGCTCTCAATAGAAGAGATAGTCGGAAGACCACAGTCGGGTGGCGGCACACGTCTGCAGTATGGGACTGACAGATCGAGAAGACAGCAGGAAATGTCAAGAGCAAGGCTCCAGGGAGACAATGGAGCATTTCTTTTGTGCTTGTTCCGCCTTGGCAAGCAAACGCATCAAACATTTGGGGACTTCCCTGTATGAGTCACTGAAAGAGGTATCGTTAGTGAGACCACATCCTGTTGATGCGTGGCACATAAGCCTATTAGAATAATATATTCTAACCTAACCTACGGCATAATTCTCTCTAGCAAAATACGTTTGCTTTAAGCATCATTGAATAGGTGTATTTTAAGCAAAAAAAAAGTTTTGCGATTTTTTTTAAATATCCTAGATGGGTCAAACCCTTTAAAATAAATAATATTTGAATACTCATTTGCTTTTATTTTTTATTTTTTTTTATTTAAAGAAGACCTAAAAAGATTGACTAAAGTTATACCACTTATCAATAAAGTAGCACATCTAAAGAAAAGGAGTTGATATTTTTGAATTCGAAAATAATATATTCAAAAATGTTTATAATAACTATCTTTAGCTTGCAGATCTTAACCGGTCTCTCGCACTGCTACCCTTTTGTTAACCCGCAATATATATACGAAATATATGTTCCTTTTTGTTAAATTCCATCGAAGAGCTGCTACTTTATGTCCCTGTAAGTAGTTGTCACAATTAGTTAATACAGTTTGTAATATTCAAGCGCTAGCAATTATCTGCTGTAAGGCGGCTGGAGTACACACACATACATTTGTATGTAGGTATATCGGGAGTAATGTGAATTATAACAGCCGACATATATTTTTCTGTATGCCAGAGCGAAGCTTTGTAAATATTGAAGATGCATCAACTGATTCATATTGAATTCCTTCGATGGACACAACAAGGAGACAAATCAGCGCAAATCAAGCGAATATTAATCGGAATTGACTTAAATAGCGATGACACCTGATATGATTAAGTAGAAAAGGAAGCAAAAAAAATATATATTTATGTATAATATATGGTATATACATCTAGTAAACTGAAATTTTAAATAATCATAAAAAGAATTAATCACGGTGCAATGATTCCTCGCAAACGGACACGGACCTCGTAACAGTTCCAGAATAAACACCGCAAAAACAGAAAGCAAAGATAAACAGTAAAGTCGAAATGTCAGAAATATGGATTTGCTGAATGTTTGTTTGGATTTTTCATTTCGTTTTATTTTTTAATTATTTTTCAACTGAAATCACAATTCGATTTCATTTAATATCATTTCATTAGCCAATTACAGTTGAATGATTTCTTACGACTTGTCGGAACGCACACATGATTTCAGTTGGCGGTGAAGGGAGGGTGTGCGGTGAAATGTATACCTGAATTTGTTTGGAGTTGTCTTCGAGTTTTATGGGTTTTCGGTTACACATGCTTCGGCTTTCGACAAATATTTTTCAATGTATTGTTTAAGATCGATATGTATATACGAGGGTGGTTCGATAGTGATGATAATGCCTTAACACACGATAGTAACACTATCGCAAGCTATATCTAATATCATATATTTCATTCTCTTAGACGATTATTGTGATTTGCGCGTGTGGGTGATTCGTCGCCGAATTGTAAAAAAAAAACGGTTGCATTTGGTGAAGAGAAAAGGCAGCGAAATTGGTCGAACTAGTCTACGAAATGTCCCTCCTTTATGTATTCTTCAAATTTGGCTTCATATCATCATATGAGAAACGTGAAATATCGTTCACCGAGCATAAATTTGGGTCGATTAGTCGCCGCCTCAGAGGCTTTCTTTAAAGTATTTTTCGAGTATTTTTCAGGTGGGTTAAAGAAGTAGCTGGTCTATTGAATCGAGCTATTAGGAGTTTATGTTAAGAAATAATTGTACATTTTTTCAAAATTTTCTTTTTTCTTTCGTAGACTAAACAATTATTGTGCCACTCTCGTACTGCCATACAAATATTAGTATGTATATTGTCTTCTCCGCAGTACTCCCGCATTCTATTGTGAATTTATAGCATTTTTGCATAACATTTGTGTAGTGTCTTTTCTCTCTTTTTCATTTGGCCTGCCTTAAGCCCCTCTTTAGCGTCGTTCTTATCATAAAATCTACCACAAATGGCAAAAAGTCGACAAGAAATCGCTGAAATCGTACATAGCATAGGCAACATATGTTGCGGTTTTTATATGATTATTCCAATGCCAAGCGCATACATATATCTGTACATACTTACATCTCCCGATAGGGGGAATGAATTATGGAGTGCAGTTTGTAGCGGCGTCTGGAGTCGGCCGCGCTCAAATCGGGTCCAAACAACAATTCACTGCTGACAAGTAAACATACAAATTGCATGCAACAAAACTTCTAATTGCAACTAATAACAACAACGACAGCCGAACAACGCAAAACACGAGCAGATTTTTCATCTTTTACCATTGCATGCGAAGCGTCCATTCATTCTCGTAATCACACATTTGCTCATTCGGCGCGACTTACAATGGCAATTGGAATGCCGAAGATGTGAGAAAAAAGCGAAAAACAGGAAAATGCAAAATAAATTATATTAAAAAATAAAGGAAATTGAAAAAAAGCAGGTTCGAGTAAGAGTTGTTGGGGATAATTGGGGCTTTGTGCAGTCCATACAAGTGTTTTTATATGTTTACTAATTATGTACTGAATTGTGAATAGAACGAGCACTTGTAGTGATAATGATTTGATTATATTAACAAGTAAGGAAGGGCTAAGTTGATTTTGCTTTGTGTGCGGGATATCCTCCAAATTAACGCAACCAAAAGGAAGAAATTTAATTTATTGGTTGTATGAGAAACAAATCAATCAGAGGGGTGGAGTTCATATATTAAAGATGTCGGCTCTTAAACCAAGGTGTAGACAGATTGTACTCTTATTCAACGCTCAACATGAAAAAACATATTCACTTGAATTCATAAAAATGTCACCCATATTGATCAATATAAACATTATAAAATCTGCTGGAAGGTCGGAAATGATTATATCGGGTATATTGTGGTTAAGAGAAGTTCTGAGTTAATTACATTTTCCTTTGATATTAATTCTTGTTTAGGAATTTAAAAATAACGATTTGTTTTTGCATATTATAGCAGTATAGCCCTTTAAGAATATGTCCCTAAAAATTTCAATTATTTCCAGAATTGCAGCTAATTTTGTGATGCGCGGACAAAATCGACTGGCAGCTCGGCGCGAGCTTTAAAGTCGCTTTTCTAAGAACAATTTTTTAAAAACGGTGTTCATGATATCTCAAATTCTACTCAATTGATTTACTTGAAATTTTATACAAAGCTTCTTTACACATACTATCGCACTACGAAAGAATTTTTGGAAATTTTTGTTTTTTATTTTTAAAAATTCCGAACGGCAAAAAAACAGAGAAATAACGAAACATATATTTAAAATAGCCGCCATTTTGTGAAATTTTTTTTCCAAAATCCTCTCGTAGTGCTATAACTACATCCTTCCCTTTTATGGATCACTTAACAATTTCTATTTCGGGTTACTGTGAGTCCTGATATCCTGCACACCAGAACACGCAATTTTTTCATCAGTCCCCATTTTTTTAATATTATAATTGAATTTTACTCTTTAAATATCAATAAAAAACATATAAAAGATGTATGGTAAAAATATTTCTGTTTTTTTTTATCGGGGCCGAAAAATAGCCTAAAATTCAGGCTTTTAAACTAGAATACCCCCTTAAAATTAAATATTTTCAAGAACATATTTCAATGCAATTTTATTTAAATAACTCACTTATTGACCGATATATTCGGCGTAAAGGCCATTAAAACAACGAAAACCATTATAGCATATGGAAGCTGGGTCAATTCGTGGTCCGATTTTATATATTTTCGCTTAACTAAGATTAAAAGTTCACATAGTTTTGCTAAGACAACTTCCAAATTGACCGATACAATTGGTATAAAACCAACCGGAAGTTTGAAATTCTTATATCTCAGAGGATAAATGGTAGTCTCGTTAATAGTTTGGTGGGCAAAATATTCGGTAACTGGACGCTTGAAAAGTTATGGTCCGCTTTTGACCACTACTCTTGCGAGGTAACACATCTGTCAGGCACAATTTGTGCAAACCCAACATCTGTCATGGTGCTCGACTTTTATAATATAGAGTGAAAGAAAACGATGAAAGTTAAAACTGTGTTACATGAAAAGTTGGCGTGGTTATAGTGCACAGTTTCCAGCTGTAACATAGAAATGTCAATTGAATCGTATTCATCAAATTTGGTTGAAATTGGTCGAGTATTTATAGAGAAAGTGGACTGTACCACGCCCATTGTACAATTTTTGTTAAGACTCACATGCACGCCTTCTGCACTAACTTGTTTCTTTAACGAATTAAAGCAGTTTAAATGGTTTTCAACATAAACTTTTTTTTAGAGGTTGATTATGGTCTATATTATAGTGTGATGGAATGCTAGAGTGAAATAGTTTCAGCAATTTTGGTTGATATTTCTTTACCAGTTTGTGAGATATTTGCTTAGAAAAAACCTCTTGGAGGGTCGAGCCATATCAATTTTTAATCTAGTTATTTTCACTTGCACGGAAGGACGGACAGATATAAGTTCGGTATTCAACTCGTCTTTTAATGCTGCTCATTTTGATTAATATTACTCTATATATAATATATCTCGATTTTTGTAGTTTTAGATATTACAAATACTCATTAGGTGAACAAAAATGTTGAAAAAAATGTAAGGAGTATTTTGAAAAAAAAAAACTTCCAAAAGTTTTATAAAAATAGGTATATTATTTTTCAATTAATTAAAACAAAAATAAATATTTAATTTTCGATCAAATTTATGCAGTTTGTATTTTAATTTTTTATTTCTGTTCCTTTTGCTCCACAAATCACTTTCGGATCACAACTGCTCTTAATAAGTACCTACAATTCATATATATAAGTATATGTATATCCATATGTACCTACATTTGCTCATATTCGCATATAATTTTACTTATTAACTTTCTTGAGTGGGTTGTCAACGCTCTCCTTCTGCCTACGAGCAGCATTCACATTTAGTAAGGTGTGTCAGTACGAATTAATTCATAGTCTGCTTGGTGGAACGGAAATGGAGTTACTGAAGGGTTTTATTATTTAAGTGCGTGCTACCTAACTACATACTTACATATAATATGTATGTATAAATATGTACACATACATTGTTAAGTTGTCGTGAAAGACGAGATAAAGTTTGCAAGGATAGCATTATAAATTGGAATAATAGATTTAGAGGTGGGAAATGTAATATATATTGTTGTATCTGTGTATATTGTTGCGAAAGATATGACGCCAACTTCTTCATATATTTATGTAACAATAAGAAACCCTTTGACCTTTCAAAGTTTATATTTTGGTTATCATCCTATTGTTTTTGAAAGTGGTCGAAAACTAGGGTCGACAAACCGTTCTGAAAAGTAGACTAAAAATGTATATGACAGTTTTTTATACTTTGAACAGGGTGTATTAAGCTACGATACTTGTAACACCCAATAAAATATATCAAAGACCCTAGAAAATATATTATATATGTATGCATATAAATGATACTACAACTACGAGTAGTTCATCAATTTTTGAGATATCGATCTGAAAATTTGTACATATTCTTTTCTCATCGAGAAGCTGGTAATTTGCCGACAGCGGACAACTATAGCATTTAGCTGTCATACAAACTGACCGAACGAACTCATTTCCGTCGGTATTTCTTTGGCAAATTAAAAAAAAAATTTCACGAAATTTAGCATAGATTATTCTACAAAGCACTGCTACAATCTCCAAACATATTGTTCAGATTGGACCACTATAGTCAAAAGCTGTCATATAAACTGACCGATCAAAATCAAAATAAAGATATTTTTTATACCTTTCATGATATACAAAAGGCACCTGTATAGGGTATTATAGCTTCGGTGCAGCTGAAGTTAACGGGTTTTCTTGTTTCTTAAATATTTTCGCATATTCATATTAGCGTGATTTATAGAAAATCCTTATAGATAACCCGGTTTGATAAGGTTAAAATCTTATTGGATGCCTATTGTAGATTTTGTTGTTGCTTGGATCAATATGAGGTAGAAATATCTCAACAACTCTCTGTTGACTGTCCTGCTTTTGCGAAATCAAGGTTAAAACAACTGGGATCTCACACATTCACATATCTATGTTGGATTCAAGGCGCTTTTTCGTCATATATGATCTTCCTTCTTGACTGTACTGTTTTTGCGAGATCAGGGTGAAAACAACTGGGATCTTCACACCTTCAGACAGCTATGTTGGTTACTTTTTCGATACATATGATTAATCGCAGAAGCTATTCTTGCTGTTCTGGCTTTAAAAATAGCTCAGTGCAGCCCTAGAAACTTATCTAATCTAAAGAAAATCCGTCCAATTATAAAGGACCTTCGTACTGATATTACTTAACAGATTTAGTATGATATTAAATTTTACATAGGATCGTGTTTGTTAGTCCACTATATTTCACTACAAATTTAATCTCTATAACCAAATGCACACATTTGATCTTTGACTTGATAGCCGCCTCCTCCTCTATGCACTCATTGTCATATTTATCACCGCTTCAATTGTCGAAAACGCTAATCGGCTTTGACTTGAATATCTCCGGCCATAGTTTGGCTGTAAATTGACTCAGAATGAACTGACAACGATGTCGTTGGTTGTATTGAAAGTAATTGAATTACATAAGTGAGGCCCACACGCAAAACGGATTCGCAGTTGATTGCGTCGTTAAACATATACGAGTGTGGATCGTCAAAGTACCGGCAAACAAGCGAACGAACGCAGCGATCGTTTGAACGAATGAATGATCAATTGAATGGACAGCCGGCAGCAATCAATAGCAAATCAGCAGCAAATACTAATATTTGCCGGATTTATAAAAGCTACTATATACTTGTATAGATATATAAATACATACATACAAACATACATATGGGCGCAATGAAGAGTGCAACAATTGTGCTCAATGATCTGCCAGCATGCCGCGCGCAGACGCATCACAGACAAGCTGTCGCAATGGACCAACGGTCTAAGCGGTCGCTGGTTCTCGGGGTCGCTTGTTTGGTTGATTGTTTGCTTGACTGCAGGCGTGCTGCAGTTGCATATTGAATTACAGTTTCATGTTTTTTTTTATTTTTGTATTCCTGTTGTCTTTTTTCTCCAGATTTTTCACAAAATTAATTTTCCATTGTAAATTTCGTTTGCAGTTTTGTATCAGAAACGCTACCGTCGCGAGCGTAAAATGCGCATACGCTACCAACAGCAGCTGGACGGTGGCAAACGAAAATTGACACACCCATCAAATGCGGGTGGCAGCAGTGTTGGCAGTGGCAATAATGTCGGTGCCGTCGGGCCTAATGGCAATGAGGAGGGACGCAGTAGTGTGACCGGTGAATGCAAAAATAATAGCGGCGAAGCAGCGACACGTAAAACAGAACCAGGTTGGTAGATCATTTTTACATACAATATATTAGAAAATATTTTGTTTCAATGTAGCATTTCCGACCCGTCCTACAACTATATACATATGTATAGAGTAGTTATCTATAAAAAAAATTCTATTATTTCTATAGTATGAGTATATATATATGTTAAAACTCTGCAAAAAATTTCTAACTCTTTATAACTGAATCACTACACTCGAAACTACGATTAACCGCCCCTTCTTTAACAAACAGCCTCTCCCTGTGCTCTCAATCTCGCCCCTTAGATAACGATTGCAAATCGAGCGAAAAGTCTGAGAAGTCGTTGAATTCCAATGATGGCTGTTCGCAATCCCAAAATGCACAACAACAACAACAACAATCACAGCAACCGCTGTTACAACAACATCACCAATCACAATCCCAATCATTGTCACATCATCATCTACAACAACAACAACCACTTCACTTGAGGCAACGTTCGGAAAGTCCCAGTTTTAAACGTGAACCACACTCGGATCGTGATAGTCCGCTCGGTCGTCGTAGTGTCGATCATTTGGAGCGTTGCGATCGTGATCATGCCGAACGTGAGTCACGTGAACATTGCGAACGCTCAGAACGTGATTGTGGCGACGCGTCTGGCATTGAGCGTTCACTTAGTATGCCACCCACTTCACAAGCGGAGAGCAGTTTGGCGGCGGCGGCAGCAGCAGCTGCTGCAGCGGCTGCAGCCAGTGGTGGCAAGGCACCATGGAACTATCCGGGCATAGATTTAATGGCCACAGGCGCCTTTTGGCAGAACTATTCCGGTGAGTTAAACGAGGAAATGTAAACATGTTCATATCAATTTATGTGTGAGGTGTCATCCATGAGTAGCGGCACACTGTTTCAAGGTTTCATAGTAATTGTAAGAAAACCAGGTTCCCCTAACCTTTTAAGTATTTGTCGGCACTGCAAAAAGTAATGCAGAGAAACTGTCTATACTTATATTTTGATCGTTCTTATTGGTAAGGTTAAGGTACAGATTATTATAATTCACTAAATACGATGACTTTTATTTGGGGTTTTACAATTAAGAGACCATTTTTCCTGGTTCGTTAATTATTTATGAGGAACCTTTATTAAAATTTGTTCAATAGCCCAACCTATTAATTAAAAATTATTTAGTACATTATTTTGACCGCATTTCATAGTGTTAAGAATTACAGGAACAAAGATCGCTTGAGGAAAAATAAAGAGAAAAAAAGAAAAAATCTCAAAATTCCTTATCGCGATTTTGTTTACAAGTTCTCTTTATGTCCTGAACAGGGTATATTAAGTTTGCCACCAAGTTTGTAACACCCAGAAGGAAATATCGGAGAACCAATAAAAAGCCAATTCCGTCTGTTTGTATATACACGAACTAGTCTCTCAATTTTTGAGATATCGATCTGAAATGTTGCACATATCCTTTTCTCCCAAAGAAACTGCTCATCTTTCGGAACCGCCGATTTCAGACCACTATAGCAAATAGCTCTCATACAAACTGATCGATCGGAATCCTAACAGTATTCTTGTCTTTTTTTTTGTTAAAATTCCAGAATCCTTGGCGCAAGAAATCGAATTGGAGCGCAAATCTCGCGCAGCCAATGCCGAACGTGATGTGAAGAGTCCAATAACTGAGCGTCCACCAGCGTACTACAAGAATTCGATGCTCTTCGGCGGCGCAAACTAAAGAGTAAACTGAAATCCTTTAAGCTTGCGTAACAGAGTGAGTATTCCAAAGGCGATGTAAGGGAGAATACATACATAAATACAGGTGTGGGTGATTTACCGACGGCCACCACTGTTATTTCGTTCATTATACAAAGCAGTGAAAATCGCAGAAAGCGAGAGTGAATTATAAAAATTGATAAGGATGAGAGAATATTAGTTATATTGCAGTAATGATCTCAAAAGGCAATCACGAAAATGATGAAAATGCAAGCGAGAGTGCAAGTGGAGCAAAATTATAACAGCACAATCTGTTCTATGAAAGTAGAGAACAATAACAGTAAAAAGTGACTGCTTTGGAAATCACGTAACAGTAATTAGTATACGATAGAGAGAGCGCAGGCAGAAAGGCGTAGAAATCATAAAAAATATATGTGAATAAGAAAAATTATAGGAATTTTAAAAAAGCATTTACGAGTAGAGCAAATAGCAGTACTTACTAAACTAGTTACCAGTGGAACGTAGGTGAGCGAGTATTTACGTACATATATAATAGTGTATATAGACAAAAGCCAATAGGTGGCAACGTTTTTTTAAATAAGTATGTAGATATTTATTCGTAAATTTGCGAAAATTAATTTAACAAATAAAGCTTAGCGAATTCTTTCTGCGGTTCATAAAAATACTTACATAAGTACTACTTGGAAATACGAAAGTAATGAAAATATACTAAAAAGTAACTGGTAGCCATAGATATATAAGTGCTTATGTATACATACATATATACTCGTATGTATGTATATTACATATGTAATACATAAAGTATGTTTATTTAGACGTTTTTGAAAAGCGTGCTAAATTAAGATAAATGTTCACACACACATACACACATATGTTTGTGCAATCATATGTATATTTAATTAGGTAATTAGTTTCTTAAGCCAGTAAGTACAGCTGTTTCGCAATGAAATATGTAGTAGGTTAAATTTTAAAAATTTTAAAATTATTATAGAAATTATGAGTTCGCGTTACATACATACATACTTACGTACACACATAGCATATATAGCATAACTGATGCTTGCATAAAGGCAGCCAGCGCTGTTTACAAAGCTTCCTTGAAATTTAATGGCTTGTATGTAGATATAACTGTTAGTTGCGTAAGCCAGTTAGACATAGCTGTGTGTAGGCCTATAGCCTATATATATAGATATATATATATATACCAATAACTATTGTAAGTAGTTCAGTAATTGTTTAAAACTTAAAAGCTGCTTCAGAACCAAAATATTGTAAATACGAGTAACTTGATAAAACTGACACTATTTGCATATAATTTTTTTCGCGTTAAATTTATTATTACAACTAACTACAAGGCAAGAGAAGGTCGAGTGGGTGGAAATTGCTATACATGCATAAAAATAAATGATTATTAAACATTTGGGAGCACGGATGGAAATAATTAAATAAATTTAAAAATCTGTATTTGATTTTAAATAATTTTTTTTTGATTAATTAATATTTAAACATTTTTTAATGCATAAAAAAATTTAATATTTACTAGTTTTATATTTTAATACTATTTTTTTTTTAAATTTTTTGTTTATTTTTTTTATATATAAATTTTTTTTTAAATTTTTTATAATAATATTATTTAAATGTTTTTGTTTAGATTTAATAAACTTTTTTTTTAATTTTTTTTAGATTTTTTTAAATTTGGTTAATAATTTTTTGATAATTCCAAATTTTAAACATCTGTCAACCGTTGAAAGACACGTCTAGCTCAGTCATCCTAAAGGATGAGTACTGTTATAGTCTACGTAACGGCACTCCATCTGGCAATGCTAAGGACCAAAACTGGTCTATGCGTTGCTCATGTGCCTACCAGTCTAACCTAACCTAACCTATTTCTAAATTTATTATGTGTCATAACCTTTGGTCATCAGCATCAAGAGAAAAAGTCCCACGTGATCTTTAAAAAAATTATTAGCCGCAGTTTTTTGCAAAACCGAATTCAACGACCAAATCATTCACCATAGACAAGAACAGGTAGTAATCACTTAGTGACGGTGATTGCTTTCTTCAGATGATCTCAATTCTTGACAGTACGGGTCTCCCGTAGGGATGCAGTTCATAGGAGATATTTCCTTGCCGATCGTACCAAACTCATAGCAAAACCTTTCTAACTATAAATCCTAGTTTTACCACGGTTTGCTCCGGGTTAACGCCATTCGGCTACGACCGCATCCGCTTGACGTGTTTTTTCACATATATGTTATACTCTATCGACTTGAAGGGAGCACAAAATTGAAATTACTTCTTGCATTTGGTTAAAAGTTGCTCAAAAAATGATTTGGACCTCATTTCAAAGTGCTGAGAATTACAAAAATTTCACTTAAATGAAAACAGGAAACAAAGAAAAGGAACAGTAACAAAACTCGAAAGTCTTTTGATTATTTTAAATTTTTTTAAAATTTTTTACTTCTTCAAAAACATATGCCTTTTTAATTTCCTTTAATTTCAACATCAAATATTACATTAGCGGAGGAGTAATTGCTCTTGAAATCGATTTATAGTAATGATAATTAATTGCAAGGTAGTTCAAGTAGTTGATAAAGTAATCAGAAAAAAAAAATGAAAAACAAAATTTATTTATTTATAATAGTAAAAAGTCTCAAAATGTTAAAAAAAAAATTATGGAATTTCCAAAAAACTGTATTGTTTAAAAATTCTAAATTAACTGATTATAAAAATATTAGTTTTTTCAAAGCCAGTGATTTGCGAAATTTGTATATAAATATATCTGAAAGCAGCTCCCAGTTACGAAACCACATTTGCTTGCGAATAAATTAATACATTTACAAAATATAGTTTCAAACTGTATTAAAAAAAATTAAAAAATTTAAAAAAATTAACTAACGATTGTGTAAGTAACAGTATTTAATGAAAATGATTCATAAATTTATTATTAAAAAAATATGCAAATCTTAAATTAATTTTAAAAATTATATTTCCAATAATAAATATTGAAAAATTAGACACGTTAAGCGCATTAAAATATTTGAGTAAAACAATGTTAGTTATTAATTAAATTATATATATATATATATATATATAGCTATGTACTTAGTAAGCGTTTAAGTAAAAAAAAAAATTGAAAAACTAATAATTAACAGCAAACTGATTGCATTCACAATAATTAAATACAATTAAAGATCATAAAATATTGCATAAATAGTAACTTCAAAACACATACACACACACACAATGCAAACTTGATACATTGCAACAATTAATAACTATAAATAAATACCTTAAAACATTCAGTAAATTACATAAATACATAGCTTACTTACAAACATACATATATATACAATACTATACATACATATAAACATACATAGTTACCCATTTGATTGCTTCGCATTTAAATGCAAAATAAATTAAAAAAAAGAAAACGCAAATAAAACGAACACAAAAAATATTAAACTATTATTAAACAATGCTACAGTAAAAATAAATTATTATTACTATTATTAAAATAAAAAAATAAATAAAAATTGTTTTATTTTATATTTAAAAAAAATAATGTCGCAAAGGAATTGAGCGGATTTAACCTCTTTCGAGAGTACTTCTGTTATTTAGGTCAGTAATTGAAGTCATACTTCCGATTTTTAACCCTCAAAATATGACGGTAAAAAAAGCTTCTAATGAATGGTATTAAATTTGTACTCCCCTATAATATTTTGAATTCGCTTCTCCAAAACGATTGAAGGTTGCTATTTTCTTATTACTTGAGTGTTAGAAAGGAAGTGAGGAGACATAACCTCTCAAGAAAATTGCTTTATATGGTAAGTAAGTAATTGGAGTCAATCTTTAAATGACACTTGCGGTTTCCGATGCTCAATTTCTTATACCATAGATAAACATTTTGTCAAGGATTGGTACTAAATTTAGACCCATAGGTAATATATTGAAATTTCCTCAAGCGAATTCTTGTGAAATAAAAAGTGAAGAATTTTTTTAATATATGGTATAAGTGGTGGAAAAAAAGTGAGGTGGCATAATCTCTTCAGAAAGTAAGTAAGTTATTGAAGTAAGTCTTTTAATGGCATTTCATTCTATCAAATTTGGAACCCCAGATAATATTTTAAATTCTACTAAAACGATTTTTGATCTGAAATGTTGTTAACTGTGGACGCGAGGTATGTTAAGAAAATAACGGGAATTTTAATATTAAAATTTCGCGAGTTTGTAGAGTCCAACTGTAATTTTTTTATTATGTTGATATGCATGCCCCTGCAACACGATAAACTTTTCAACTGTATTTATTGCTTACTTTGTCTGTAGCAGCCGCTAAGGTTAGACGGGTTTTTATTAGCTTGACGATTTTCGTTTGATAAAAGACACACACTTCGTTGCTTACTCATAAATTCTTGCTCCAAAAGAATACTGTAACGATGCCCCAGCCTCCATATTCACCAGACATGGCTCTGTGTGACTTTTTACTTTTTCCAAAAGTGAAGAGAGCCTTAAAGAGCCGTCGTTTTACAAAATAGATAAAAATCGCTGAAAGACCTAAATGCTATCCCAAAAATCAAGTTTTGAGTAGTGTTCCGACGATTGAAAGAAGCGCTGGCATAAATTTATAATATAAATTGGGTACTAGTTTGAAGGCCAAAACATTAAGGTAAACAATAAATAAATACTTTTTTCTAAAAATACAAATTCCCGTTATTTTTTTAACACAACTCGTATATGGGGTTCTTGGTAAGTAAATTACAAAACAGGATAATGTCTTTTTTATTACTTTTATTCTGTACACTGTATTCTAACACGATTGAAATTAATTGATGATTAATTCACTAACAAATGATCCTAAATAAAAAACAAGGTTATCAATGGTACAGTCTGTGGTATTAAAAATTTATTTGAATATATATCCATCCTTATTTGTGGCTAAAAAATACTTGCTATATTTATTACTAATTATTTAATCGCCTTCAGTCGAAGCTACTATGCTTGGTGGGTTACTTACTAGCTTTATTGTTGTGATATAAAAGAGATTTTTTTAATCCCTACCTTCGGCTTAACCGGCGATCATATTAAGCAGTAGGTGTCCACAAACCAAGTATTTGACCATTACTTTGCATATACATAAGTTAAAATACATAGTTATTAGTAAAAACGACAGGAAGTATATTGCAACAACAAGTTCTCGTTTCAAATCTTCACATATCCTCTATGGTATGATATTATTGTTGCCAGAAAATGTATGACAGTGCAACCCTGATAGCTTTCATGATTTCAACACATTTAATTTAAGTTTTTAATTTTTCTTTTGAAACAACAAAAGTGGCTATATTTTATTACTGACGCCCCCTAGACTTTATTTACTTCGATATCCATACAAATTTGCGCACAATACACCAGGCGCACAGAAATATAAAGCTGCGAGCAACTAAAATAACAAATTTGCATTGCTTAGATTTCTTACACAAACAATCAATCGTTTCAGTTTCTCCATACATTCCCCAAATGGAATGTAAGAGCCGTTATTTTTGAACAGTGTATTTGCAATATTTCTTTTTACACACATACATACATTATGATCGCATGTGAGTGTGTGGCGTTGCCACATTTTCGCAAAGAAGCAACATACCCTCACATTTTACAGGATTTACGGGCATGCATATACATATGTATAATTTCTTTTTACTTGGACATCCTCTACCAGGCGCACAGAAAAAGAATGTCTGTCATCTTCGGATTATGCAAAATTTATTTTTAGTGTTTGGTGCGTAAAAGCAACAAAAATTATGAACAAAATAATTATTCTTCTCATATATATAATATTTATATTTATAAATTATTATTCCTCATACAAGTATACATATGTATAAAAATATATATTTTAGACAAGCTCCCTGGAGTCTAATTATGCGCTCCTAATATAATTTCAGTATTTAAACATTTTTAAACTACCCTCTGTGGTCATTATTAGGGCATAACTCTCCCCCTACGATGATGCGATATAAAAATTATTTCAAAATTTGTAAACGACTCCACACTGCCACACCAGGTGCACAGAAAATTTAGCAAGAACCACCCTGTGATCAGTATTTGCATAATGTGATCGGGTGTGATGCACTCTACTACAATAACAATTGGATCATAGAAGTTTGCAAATACAAACAACTATGTGTTTCGTTTACTAAATCGTATCCTTTCAATATAGCTGCGTAATGTGCAGTTATTGGTCGCAGTGTTGTTGCAGGAACCAGCGATCAAATGTATTGTAGATCAATTTGCATAACAACAAAGCACTGCCGCTGAATTGACATGCGAATCACCCTACTGGTTTCTCATGTGCGCTTGGTGATTCACGCTGATTTAGTACAAATTATTATATAATTTTTGCAGGTCGAGTTCAATAAAAAAAAAACAAATTCGCAAAAATATCTACGGATAAAAAAAATGAATCATAACTATCAGGTGAACAGCAAAGTAAACCTGCGACAAAAAATCACAGCATGAGCACGTCGCTTGCCGAATTTCTATTTTGCAAAATCTAGCAACAAACACTTGTTTCATTTTCCAGCATTTTCTTTCATTATCAGCAGTTATGAAATGTCACCAGTGCACACACAGACATATTGTTAATGCAGTTTTTCTCACGTGCTGTTGTTGGGAGCTTAACACTAATGTTCTAACTGCGACATATGGTTTGGTGAGATGAGTAATCGTTAAGAGTTGTCGAAAAAGCACGTTTCGTGTTGCTTATGCGCGCCTGGTATTTGAAGTTAATTTCTCTTACACTAGAAAAATGTTTCTTGGGTGTGTGCGTAGGTGTGTGTGTGACTTTTTAAATAACTGCAAGTTTTTATGCAGCCATTTATGTACCAGGAGCACAGCAATGAATTGGAGTTCTCAAGTAGCAACAAATAATAAAAAGAAAATGTTCCATTTCCATATTATACTTGTCGAAATAACAATAACCAAGCCGACATTTATTAGTTAATATTTTTTGTTGCTAATTTCCTTTTTACTATTTTTCTACTACAAATACAAAAAACAAATACCCTCCAGCTTTTTTTGCGCGCCTGGCTACACGAAGGCGCTTCGCCGGCTTAATGCGAAGTTGTGTTTTTCCGATTAACAAATAAATGAGGAGGAGGTTATCGTATCCCAACGAATATACTTTTACTTTGCTGCCGGAGTTTAATTGTACTAATTTATGTAATTTGGCTTTGTATTATGAAAACATTATCACAAAGTCTCGTTTTGCTACTCACGTCGCGCCAAACATTAATAAAATAAATAAAATAAAATTTTATTACTTTATTTAAAAACAAAGAAGATAGGTGAAAAAATTGTATTTTAATTATTTTTAAAAATTTTTTTTATTATTGTTTATTACACTAACAAGAAAATTAATACGTTCAAAAATATTACAAAAAATGTCACTTATTTTATATTTCTTTAGCACCAAACCATTCTTCCAGTCACCAGCAGAATCTTTAGGTTTCGAAAGCTGGAGTAGTTGGTAACTGCTTTCACAACAAAATACTCCATAGAACAGCAAGAGTTCTGGCATCTTCGTATATCTATAAGAAAATAAAAAAATAAACAGAAATTTTAATAAATTAATATTGTTATAATATTTAAAAACTAAGTATATGTCTTAGAAAAGAATAATTGTAATTTTTGGCGTTTACTTTTTAACCCTTTTCTAAATATGAAAAAACGATGTCCATAACTTTTAAAGAAATATTAAATGAAAGCAAAACTTAAAAAAAAATTTTATGTATGTGAATAATAAAAAGGTAATAAGATAGATCTAAAGATGGGCTAATGAACCTTTGTTGTACAGTACTATAGTTAATAACAACATAAAACTTATAATACAGCCATTAGCTGTGGGAATCGGAGCACTAAGAATTAAGAATGTTTATTTACAAAATTTACGATCTGTTCCATAGTTGGAATATATAGATATCTGGATGAAACATGGTAATCTTAAAAAATCAAAATGGGGACCCACTGTAAACTATTATAATTGCAAGTAGATAAATATTATTCACCTCATTAGTTAAAAATAAACAAGAAAAAAGTTTAAATTCGGTTAACATGAAGCTATACAAAATTCACAAATACAAAATATTCCTTACAAGAATCAGTGAGCATAGTTATCCGATCTGAACAGTTTCTTTAGAAATTGCATTATTATTTCCCATGCAAGCACTTGATTCCGATTGTTCAGTTTGTATGGAGGCTATATGCTATAGTGATCCGATTCAAACAATTTCTTTTGAAATTGCACTATTACCTAAGATAATAGATCAAACCAAATTTCGTCAGGATATCTCATCGAACAAAAAAGTTTTCCATACAAGCACTTAATTGCGATCTTTCAGTTTTATGCCAGCTCTATGCTATAGTGGTCCGATACCGGAGGCAGCGATAAGTGAGCAGCTTCTTGGGGCTTGGTGTGCAGAATTTCGATCGATATCTCAAAAATTTAAGGACTACTTTGCGTATATACAGATAGACGGACGGACGGACAGACAAACAGACGGACATAGCTAAATCGACTCAGCTTGTCACGCTGATCATTTAGATATATATCTTATAACGTTTCCTTTTGTGTGTTGTAGGGTATAAAAAAGATACCATAGAGCTCAATTTATTAAAGCCCAAACTAGTAGACAAAGTTTGTCGGTTCGGTTTGTTTCAGAGGTCCGAGTAGAATTTTCGTTTTTGCGTGGTTAAGCCAACATATTTATTTGATTTTCGGTTTAAAATATGGATAACGACAGGGTTTCTTACAAATTTATAAAAATTTATTATGATGTTGGAACAGTGATAGTTGTAAAACTTAGTGCCTTACCGCCAAATAGTGGCGACGTATACGTCATGTTTTGTGACACTTTCCATGAGACAGAATTTTAGGTACAGATTGTGTTGCGAGCTCCACAAATTATACCGAATTATTATACCAGTTAAAAGATATTTTAGAAAAATAAAAAGGCGTTTTTTAGATATGTGGTTTTCAAGACGAAATAAAACGCCAAGAATTTAGCTCTCTAATATAAATAAGGATTGGATTTCGGGCAAGTGACCAACGCGGCTGGCTCGAATAAATCCCAGCCGAGAGACCAAATTTTCGACCACATTTTGCAGCAATTGGGGCCGCAGTTCAGCAATAACTTATCTGCCTAGACAAGCGACTTCACAAAACTCCACAAGAAATAGAAAATATTTGAAACCAAAAATCGCTCACATCCATATCCTCCAATTTTGAAACGAAAAAATCATTAATCATGGCTCTATGGCGTACTCCTTTGATTGTAACGTGGACCAAATATACTCTCTGCTCATAGAGCACACCAAACACCCATTTAGCCAAAAGTGTGCTTCCTCGTTGAAAAAAATTTTCATGTGAAAATCAGAATCGGTGGCCATCCCATTTTGGGTCCATTTACTTAACGTGCGTCGCGCTTAATGATCGTTTGGCTTCAATTCTTGCATGAGTTGGATTTTTTAAGCCCGTAAAACAAGATCCTTCCAGAGAATCTTTCATCAAGTAAAAGGCTACAACTCCAGTTCGTATATTAATACATTTTTTACTGAGAATTTTACATTAAGTAAACCTTTTTGAAGTAAATATATTTTTTCAATAAGTTTAATCCTTTTGGCATCTTTATACAATCCAGTCAAGACCAAGTTATATATTCATAGTTCAAGTATGATCCTGTATTCGTAATAGTGCCGAGATCTAGATCTTTAAGTTTCAAATTACTTGCTATTAGTTTATTGTTTTCATTCTACATACATATATTTAATGGGATAGACTGCCACTATGGAAGACCTGACCTTGGCATGCAACAAATCTCAGAACCTACTTGTATTATCGGCACGATATCAAGGCATCCTAAAGATGGGCCATAAGCTCGGCAAGTACTTAACAGATATGTTAGTAACCATTGAATACAAATCGTGCACAGGACCCAGCAGAGCTCTTGCTGCAAGGTCAGGCCTTTCTTTCAAATATAGTCCAAGACCAATTTTCGGGGTATTATTTTATCTGATTTAAATTAAAGTAAACGCGTTTAATGGCGTAAATCTGCACATATATATACATACATACTTACATATGTATATTTACATATGTATGTATTTGTTCAAGAACAACAAAGCCATATTAGCATATATACATATATGTACATATTTTTTTTGATTTGTATTTAAATACCGTTTGATATACTTGTACATATGCACAGAAAAATCCACCTATGTAGGTATGTGTATAAACGCCTTTAAGATCTCCCCACCTTCTATCGCCCGTAATCGCTGTCTGGATCCCATCAACTAATCAAAACACCGAGACAGCAACCAAACATTAGACCAAATAAATCTGCTGATGCAAATCCATCAAAACAACAAAAATCTCCGAGAAAAGTGGCTAAAGTCAGCAGAAGAACATCTTCAGTTTGATTGGGTTGAGTGATTTATGTGTCGCCTGTCTGATGAATAGGTACGACGAAACGCGGCGGCGGCATGCAGCGGCCGATAAACAAGTATCACAAGATAACCATGTGAACATATACATATCTACATATATATAAAGTACATATGAACATAAGTGAAATATATGTGCGATTCAATGAGCGCTTCTTTCGCACAAGCCAAATGTTTGTGCGCAGACAGACGTGTTTTTGGCAATGAAACGTTTTTGAAAAATATTGTGATTATGATTATTGGAAAATTATATTTAATTCACAGTTAAACGAACACGTACGAAGCGAAGCGATCAATCGATACATGCATACATACGTACACACCTATAAACAATCACCGCAGACTACTTTCATATGCAGTTATTCGCATGTGAGCGGCGCAAAGAGAACCCATCAAAATTGGGATAAAACGGCACTTAGAGACTTAGCTTATAAAATAAAAGCATTGAATTGCAAAAGCAGCATAACAATGAAGAGTCGCAATCGAAAAGGTCCGATTTACTTATGAATACCACTTCGCCCTTCACTCTGCTGCCCTGATCTTGTTTGTGCTATGCGAATGACTTGAAAGTTCGGTACGCGGCATCGCTCGAAAATGACCCCAATTATCGATTTAACTTTATTATTGGTTTTGAAATGTGGCGTTCGTTAGTTGGCGCAATAAAAAAATGTAGAACGTTTATCTCACTGTCTCTAATATAGAGTGTTTATATGTGTGCCTGTATGTATGTATTTTTGTATCTTGGAGTATAAAATAAATTTATATAAGGACACTTAAATAATTTCCCTACAAATGTTACAGGCATACATATTCATATGTATTTAATGCTGTCCCAGTGGTAAATTGGTCTGTCTCAAGAGCAACCGCGTCCGACAGTATCACATTGCTAATATAAGGTTACGCAATACTCCTCAAAAAATACATCATAAGTTAGAAAAGAGAATATGTCAAAAATAATAACCGGAAAGAAGGAGATGAACTATATATACTATTTAGACTGAATGGTTTAGTTTGCTGATATCAAAAAGTAGCTCGATAAGTGCCATCCGAGCACTTCGCTGTGATTTATCTGTTCACAAAACAAATAAAAAGTTTCGATCGGTTCCGATTCCTTTGTATTCTCCGGATGTGGCCTCCAGGGACTTTTTCTGCTTTTAGATCTCAAACGTATGCCTTTTTAGCGAACATGTAGTGAGAATAAAAATGGAGTCGCCGAGACCGAGACTTATTTTGAAGCAAATTATAAATCTACTAAATCTACGATAAATTGCGATAATAGGTTTACGATCTCTAAGAAGTTGAATAGTAAAGTCGAGTTTTGCCAAAAAATTTGTTGTTCAATCCTGTCAGAACTTACTCAAAGAAAGAATAAAAAGATCGATGGAATTGTTCCTGCATAAGATTTTATATAATTCAGGGTGTCCTTAGCAAATACTATGAACTGTATGTCCTTCTGGACACAAATGTTTTTAATGTTACGGAAGATTTTGGGAAAGGTTTTTAGCATCAGTTTACGGATATCCAAACTTTGCTAGATCAACTGTCGACTAATGTCAAATTTGAACAAAATCTTTTAATTCTTCACAAAATTCACAATGTTTTGAATGTTCCATTACTTCAAATGAGCGATGTTATCCGTTTGGTAATCCTGGAAAAAAACAAACTCTTTATTGTTGATGAGCCGGGTAACTGCAAAGTTGATGAGATTGCCAGATAAGGTAAAATGTAGAGTTGTCTCTTCTTCGGGAAATTACATAAGCTTACAGTGACTCTCTCGACACAAACCTTTGATATATAACGCCCGCGCACGTCAACAACAGGCGAAAACATCAATGAAGTGAAGAACATAGTATTGGCTAATCGTCGCATCACCATTAGGAGATGTAGGACTCAGTCTGCGACCCAAATCTGCTCCAGAGGGTCATAGCTGGTGACGAATCATGTGTTTATGGCTATGACGTGGAAACCGAAGCTCAATTATCCCACTAAAAGCTGCCGCATAAGCCAAGATCGAAAAAAGCGCGCCAAGTTTAGTCGAATGTGAAGGGTTTGGTCACAGTTTTCTTCGCCAAAAACGCCCAGATTTGTGGAAGAACAAAAATTCGCTTTAGCACCATGATAACGCCCCTGCTCACGCATCGTTGCTTGTGCGCGAATATTTGGCTAAAAAGTACACATGAATGATGTCACAGCCACCACATGCCCCAGACCTAGCCCCCTGTGTCCTGTTTTGTTCCCATAACTGAAGAAAGGACGACGATAATCTACGATTTAGGAGATAAAAACTACATCGAAGGAAGAGTTGAACAAGATCACGAAAAATAACTTTTTTAAGTGCTTTGAGTATTGGAAAAATTGCTGGCATAAGTGCATTATATCTAAGGGTGTATATACGCAAACTAGTCTCTCAGTTTTTGAGATATCGATCTTAAATTTAGCAGATGACCGTTTCTCACCAAAAATCTGCTCATTTGTCGGAATGTCCGATATCGGACCACTGTAGCATTAGCTGCCATACAAACTGAACGATCGGAATCAAGTGCTTGTGTGAAAAACTTTTTCATTTGATGAGATATCTTCATGAAATTTGGTATTGATTTATGTCCAAGGCAAAAATAGAATCTCCGAAAAAATTGTGTAGATCGGACCACTATAGCATATAGGTGCAATACAAACTGAACGATCGAAATCAAGTTTTACTAAGGAAACTTTTGTATATGTGAATCATTGTGTTATAATCTTCGATGAAAACGAAGTTAACATTTTTTTTCTGTCTTTTTTTAAAAAAATCATATCACTCTTATTGGAAAACTGTTTATATACAAATATATAGAAACAAATTATTAGAATAATGTCTTCATTGGAGCTCTCGAAAAGCTCGTAAACAGTTAAAACTTGGTGGAAACCTCAAGATTTATTCAGAGAATGCATTGGAATGCATATCCAGAGTGTTAGAAACCAGTTCCTGTCTTTGGATCGAAAATCCACATGCTAGATGGCAACAATGACTTGCAACTTTCCTAAAACTTAGACATACCCCGAATTGAATGAAATCCATCCATAACTAACTATTTTCTAACCAGTTACTTCGGTGCGACCACACCGATTTGTCTTCAACACTTATATATATAAACGAAATTTCTTATTTCTACAATACTTAAGAACATCACTTTCTTACCGAAATTAAAAGGAATGCTTATGATTATGGGTTTATGGCGCTGATATGCGGCTTGTGTTCTGTTATTGGTGTGGGGGTCCACACTTTTTTCGAAAATTTTGCAGCAAACGGCATTAGATTACAGGTTATAAGCAGTCAATCGTATTTAATTCTAGTTAATTTCTGTGTGAATTGTTTCGAAACGTTTAACTGATTGACGGTTACCATTGTTAAGGTGACCATATGAACAGAAATTTTGGGAATACAAGTATCTACATATGAGTACAGCTGCACATGTGAATACATATAAGTATATGCGTGTAGGATATTTGAACAGACCAACGCAGTAAATATGCTTGCGAAATAACTGTTGTTATAACATAAATCAAACAATTATCGAAAGAAAGACCGTAATTTGGCTCGGCATACTCTCATGAAAATTTTCGTAGAATATGGGTCAGGAGTTTGTGTAACTGTATGTACGTACATATATGGTGGAAGATTTAGTTCGCCGCATATTCCGATTCAAGTTTGGATAATTCTGAAATGTCTAATTTAAATTGTAGAATATGTTCTTTGCTGTCTTTGGTGGACACTAAGTCTAAAGCGTTAACCAAAACGTTGGTTTTTAACCAGAAATATGAAAATGTTTGTCCAACTTATTTTAATATGTGTAAAACGTTGAATTTATAGTCAGATTTAACTTTATATGAATGAGAATTAGATATTAGTTGTTTCAGTGGTGACAAAACTTACCGAGTTATCGGCGTCGGCTGAACTAGAATCAAATTTGCGTCAACGAAACACGAACCAGATATATTGATTTTAAAGAGTGCTTTTCTATGCCGTATACGCGCTCTTGCAAGGCGTTTCGCGCTTATCCGCGTATTGTGTATGCCACACAAAATATTCCAGAGGTGTTAAATTGCACGATCCTAGAGGCCACGACACAGTCCCATGACAAATGTCTGAAAAAACGCAATTTATATACTAGATCATTGCTGTGGTTATAAAATCCAGATAGATATAGAGGAAAAGAGGTTAAATGAGTGAGTCCGGTAAACTGGAGAAGCCAGCTAAACGGAAACAAGTTGTGCAGAGACTAACTGGGTAACATCCTCAATGTGTCGATTTTGTGATATGGAGCCTAAAACTTCGGAGCATCTGCTTCTAGAGTGCGTAGTAATCTGTAGACGCAGGAATAAGTCATCGACATCGGAAGACATCGACTCTTTAGCGTTTAGCACAAACCTTGAAGTTATAAAGGTGCTACGCCTAACTGCGCCCTTGTGAAAGAGGGGGGGTACAATGGACCATGGGTTGCAGTGCATACCTCTATAAGAAAAAAAATATATATACATTTCTTCGCTGCATACTTTTTCCACATTTTAGAGTCTAGAACAGTCTACTATATTTTTCATTCTCGATTCTGGATATCGATAAATTATAAAAGTGATATTTATTGGGTTTAGTGATCCAAAAGTGTGACGTCGAGAAAAGTGAAATACAGTATGATAAAGAAGTGCTGACTCCTCAGTACCTTATCAAATGTAGGAACGGCGGAAGTAAAGCCATTACAGTTTAGGAGTGTATATATTTTTTTTAAATCCGTGAAAATTCCTACGCATGCATGAATTTATATATGTAGGTGCATAAGTGCTTATGTTAAGAACTGTCGAACCAATAAAACATTAATTACTCATAGCTGACTGCGTGTAATGGCGACATTAGGCCCAATGAGGCAAAGTCCCTTACGCTAACTAAACGAGATAAATCATCCAGAGCTGTTGACATGGTGCTGTCACCAACACTGCCACATTTTATGTGCATACATATGTACGACAAAGCATACAATAAGTACTCGTACTCCACATTTAACTATAACTGCCCATCCCAACAACAACAAACTTTATAAAAACTAAAAGCCCGCATTGCAAACAAAACTTAGAATATAAAAAAAAGATAAAAAATAAGCAAGTCTAATAGTGAACTAACTAGAAATTTTACAAATAAGCCGACAATGCAATGCAATCTACGAGCATGCACCTACGAGTAGAAGCATACACTCGTACCAAAGCCGAGTACTCTTGTTGCAACCACTGTGAGATTAGTGTGTAAACAATAAAAAAAAGCAAGCAAAGTTTTGCTGAAAAACGCGAAGCAAGCATTTGGCGTTGCTGGGCGATAAATCAGCAGCGGCTTTTAAATAATAAATGTAATTGAGTCGCGCGCGCGCATGCGCACAATCCGCCAGAGCCAATAGATCGCACACACACATACACTCACTGGCACACAGCAAAGGCATCCATCCTCGGTAAGGCAGTGCGCATATCTCACAGATAGTTTTTGCTGCAGATTTGTGTCTTCGGCTAGTTAGCTTGCCTAGTAGTTGGTTGATCGCGTGTGGGAATGCAACGCTGCACGGCGCTCATATATGTAGATATGTATGCAGTTCGCAGGCAGCGTAGAAAATGAGAGCTTTACTTGCAGCACTTGAATACTTTTTGATAGTAAGTAATTGCTGTTGTTGTTCGACGATCATACCAAAACAATATAAGTATATGTGTAAACTAGCATAAAGCTATTTAGCAGCTTGGCATAAGTGCTTTGAGTACTTGAAGCGCTGGGCAAAGGGTGCGCGCATGCGCCGTAGCACCGGGATGCTGTCAACGAATGCAGCTTCATGGAAGAGCGCTCGCACAATATGCAGGGCATGGCACTTAGCCGGCTGTCGCCACTTCAGTTGACGGCATTTTTACTCTCCCCGTGTGTATTTTTACTTTACTTAAACTTATTCCCTTTTTCTTCTTCTTCTTTTCGTACATGAATTACATTTGTCGTATTTTTTGTGAGTATGTCTTGTTTATATTAAGGTAGTCGTGTTTTTACTGGAGATTTTTTGCCTGTTAAGTGCCTTCATTACTGCGTTAATGTCCTATTTTGATTGCTGTCAGAACAAATTAATTAAGTCGAAGTAAGTCAGTAGACAATTACGATGGGATATCAAAACAAAAAAAAAATTATAATTATACTTTTATTTCCTTTTAAATTTTTTTTACTCGTTTTACACACTACTTCCATGAAAAATGTATTTGAGTTAGGTTAGGTTAAATATTTGATTTCTCAGCTTGGCGGGAGATCACACTTACACTGTTATGTACAGCCCTATGTGTAGTCAGACGATAAACTCTGTAGTTGGATATATGGGCCAGAAGGATCTTGCGACTGCACAGCTGCCGTTAGTTGACGAACGCGTGCTAAGCTGGTCTGAAGCTCAACAGTCCAGTAGTGAACTACAAGAATTTAACGGAGATCCTAGCCCATTACGCAGTTATTGCGACTGAAGACCGAACAACCTGTCCTACCGAGCTCATCAACCTTACAATTTCCTGCAACACCGCCAATGACCAGACACCCAAACCAGTCTAATCATAAAATAACTTGACGCCAGAAATAAGAAGTTTAGACATTCCTTCACTATCCCTGCCCTACTTTCGGTACAGCAGTTCTACTGCTACCTTTATGGCAGCCACCTCTGCTTGGAAGACGCTGCAGTGGTTAGGAAACTTAAAACTGGAGGAACTTTAATAAGAGGTAATTAAGAAATCTACCAACTGACTTTGGCATTGATTGGAATATGGGTGTACTCTGCTTTATTTCAAAAAGGGATTACCCGTAGTCTGCGCCAATTCGGTTTGATTGACAGTATTGTGTGTATTGTATATAAACTGATTGGACCTTATCAGTGTGGCTTTAGACCACAATAGACTAAATTTTTACAATTCGCCTGGAGAACACTGACAGGAGCTGCTTATTCTACGACATGTCAACATTTGGTGACCGTGCGAAACTCAAGCGGATATGTAGAATACCGTTTAGTAAAATCATCAGCTCTGTCAAAATCAGAGAAAACATCTTCGAGTCGTTCGATACCAGTCGAGGTTTTACCGTAGACAAGGTGAATCTCTCTCGTGCGCCTTCTGCAATCTAATGTTGGAAAGCGTAATACATACTGTTAATCTGAACCGCAGTGATATTATCTACTCTAAATGGCATGGTAGACGTTAACAACAGAGGCGTCAGCGCAGCCTTTTTCAGCCTAGAAAAAGAAGAGTAAAATGTTAGTCTTGTGCTGAACGAGGGCAAAACAAAGCAGCTGTAGTTCACAAACAAAGATTCATCGCGTCTTGAGAACCACGTCATTGTTGGCGGTTATGAATCTGAAAAAGTGAAGAACTTTGTCTATCTACTCTGGAGATCAAGTGTAGAATCACTTTTGTCAACAGGTGCCACTTTGGGATCGGTAGGCTATGTAAAAGCAGATTTCTCTCTCGACGAACAAAAATTACTCTCTATAAGTTGTTTATCATTCCCGTCATATAACCTCCCTCTGATCATGGTCTAAGTTAAAACATTCCTTCATCACAATGGGTACTTAAAAAAACAAAATTGCCGCATTTGGAGTGAGGATAATCCACAAGCCCTTGTTGAGACGACATTATATCCTCAAAAAGTTATTGTTTGGTGTGCTCGATGGGCAGTAGAAATCACTGGCATATATTTCTTCAAAAATGAAGCCGGCCATAATGTTACAATCATCCTTATAGATATAGAGCTATAATTAATGACCTTTGGCGCCTTATCTCGCATCGTGGGCCTGTGGCGTGTTCTCCAAGATATTGTGTAGATGTGCGAAGTCACTTGTCTACGCAGATAAGCCCGAGGCGACTTGGAAGCGAATATCCGGTGCCTTATTGCAGATATGCGATTCCAATTGCCACAAAAACTGGTAGAAAATTGTTTCTCTCTTCTAGAATTCGAGTCATTAAAACATAATGGCAAACAGTTATCTTTATAATAAAGCTATGTTCTTGGCTATATGAATTATATGTGTTTTATTTCTTTTACACATGTCTTAAAAAACATATTATATATATTTTTTGAGAAATTTAAATTATTTAAATTGTTCTATGTCTTTCCATGAACCTATTTCAACCGTACCGAGTCCATTTGCAACATTTTCCAAAAAAAACAAGTAAGAAAAAATCCCCTCGCATTTTTAATTTTTTGTTGTCGATTTTCTTCTCTCTGCGTTAATCCTCATTTCATATTCGGAATTATTACGCTACAGTGATGCATTTTGGCAAGTGTGTTTGTATATATATAATATATGTATATATAAACGTACATACATATATGTATATGGATAAATAATTACATATGAATTTCTATGTATTTAAAAAGGTCTTTCATTCGCTTGCAACATATGAGCACTTGATCGTGTTTTTTAATATTATCCTTCATGATCCCCTCGCGAGCGGTTGATTGTGTCTTCGTAAAGGATACTTCGTTTTCAAGTTTGTGGTTTTTTGTTGTATTTTTTAGCAGCGTTTTTCTAATGCATTTACTCAACCAGAAGACATTGAAATCTGTGGCAACCGCGACCGTTTTGGCCTTTTGTTTCGCTTTCAATGGCCTTTCGAAATTGTTCGCGCACACACACACACATACACAAGCATATGCGAGCACTTCACTCAACTATTTGTTGTGTTGCAATATGTTGCCGTCCTCTGTTTGTTTTTTTGTTGTTTCTTACAAACAATGCTGCAACAACATGTGCGGATTATTACCGCAATCTGTTGTTAGTATTGTTGCTGGTGCTGCGTCTGTCGTTATGAAATAACTCTGCACCGTTAATATATGGAGTGGAAATGGCAATAAAATGATTTTTTGCTTTTTCTGCTCGATGCAGTTTTTTGGTGATTAAATGCGGTCTCTTATTGGTGGCTTAGTAGTCGTATGAAATTGACAATTCGCAGATTAAATGCGATTTTCTTGTACCCTTTATGGGTACTGAGGCGTGCAACAGCTGTAGGTTTTAATTCCACTTTGATTGCAATTCAATTGGTTTTATTTGTATGTAATGGAAGTAAGGGCTTAAGCTGCTAGAAAAATAAATTTGCATAAT